AAGGACATGATCAAGGAAGCTCTTTCTGACTATTCTTTGTACAGTCATCTGTTGTATGCTGCTGTTCTCTCTATGTATCATTTCTTCTCGATTGCTTTAACTTACTTTTGCTTCAGAGACTGGCGGTTCCCTCTTTGCACGTCCTTGGGCGAGCACGTTAGCTGTAAGTTTGCAGTGTCTGTGTGAGATACGCACCTTACTTTAAAGGATATGGTTAAAGGTCCCTGGCATTGCGGCTATGATGTGGTCCGAGTCGACAATGTTGGCCACACGGCAGCTGTCACGTTTCCTATCAGGGAAGATGAGTGGATTTGCGTTTTCACAGCCGAATTTGTTCAAGAAGATGGTCGAGAAATTACCCGCAGGTAGATCGATGTGATTTCGCCCGACTCTAGTTGTACGTCGAGTTGCTCCTGCGAGACACAGCGACTATTATTTCAGATTTCACCTTGGTACATTTGGCATTATCTCATGACGGTTCTTTGCACCTAATCAAGTTGCACCAAGATCGCGAGCCTATAATCGTACCCCTTGCGCCGAAGTCGAAGGTATTCCTATAGGATGCTCGCTTCTTGTACGCATACATAAATGTATATTTATAAAATGATCCAGGTGGAGACGGTTAAAACTATGATGGATAAGTTAATCGAAGAAAACTCAAGAACATGCTGTTTGGGGAAGGTCACAAGTGACGCGAAAGGCATTCTGGGTGGCAAGACGAGCGGTCGATGCTGAATTGAAGGTAAGGGTAATAGACTGAATTAAAATTGCTTGCTCGTTTTCATCCTTCCATCTCACTTTTTCAGGCGATCATTCCTCGTGTACAGGACATTCTACTTGGACCAGCTGCTCCTCTTCTGCTTCCTTCAAAGAGCCTCAATCGTAGTGGAGTTACTGTTGCCAAGTCGCTCGTTTCTGCTTCTCAATCGCCGTCTGGTGGGCAACTGCCATTATCTTTTGCCAAGGTCAGAAGATAGTCAAGTTTTTGCGTTGTCATCGGATTCTAACATATTAAGTTACATCATTGCAAAATATTCCTATTAAACAGATCAGCATTCTAGAAAATGAATATTTCAATTTCTGCTACTCTAAATTGATCACTTTTATGCCGCTGTAAAGCTATTTATCTCGGCTGCTGTCTCAACATTGGAGTAGCCCGGAGAACGTCACAGGATCCTTACTCGTCCATTTAAACACTTTTCTGGCTGCTGCGCATATAGAGTTCTCACTGGGCGAATGATGTTGAACTCAGCCTACTGATTTCTAGGAGTTGGTTTCTCTTTCCACAAATCTGGAAAAGGCCGAGTGGGTACGTGTAGTTGAGAGAATGTGTGATGTTGCTGGAGTATCGTCTCAAAAGGAAGCGGTGCAAGAGTTGTACGCAAAGTGAGTTTTGCATCTTAGCGCTTACCATACTTCTATGGACGTTAGCAAATAGCATGTTTTAAGAACGAGAGCGGCTATGGCGAAAGGTGGCTTCTCGTCGGATATTGCTCCATTATATACTTTCTTGATAATCTGTCCGGTGAGTGTTTCGTTTGATTTTTCATTGGCTTGTTTACGAAGATATTCTCTTCATTCTATGAAATAAATTTCTCTCTCGAGGTTTCGTCCTTCAGTAGCATTTCTTTGCTTTACGCACGAAAACTTCCAATCATGAATATTCAACTAATTAAGGATTTAACTACGTTCCCATGGGAAGTGATGCCGATATTTTGCGACAGTCCTTATGTGGCTCGTATCCCATCAGTACATGCTTTGTTTCAAACTCTTCGCAAAAGTTCTCAGGTATCTTTGCTCTTTGTTTTTGAAATCAGCATCTTGATTCTATATTCGCTTTTTAAAGGTACCAGTCGAAGTGAATGTTCATAATGCGTTCTATGTGCTTGACCCTGACAACAATCTGGGTGACACAAGAAGACGTATCACGGACTATGTGTCAAAGTTCGGCTGGGAAGGGGTTGTGGGCAAAATTCCTTCTGTTACAGAAGTCACCGAGGCTCTGTCACAAAGGGATGTCTTTTTGTGAGTGCTGTATTCATTTGCACCAATTTTTGTTCACTTACTGATTTGTTTACTGTACTCATTGTTTACGCTGAGCAAGCTATTCAACATTGGTATCGTTTCCAGCTATATGGGCCATGGAAGTGGTTCGAGGTACTTTAGTCGACGTATGATCTGTGAAAATACGGTCAATGCTGTGAGTGTGCTGATGGGCTGTGGAAGGTGAGTGGAAGTTCGAAGCCTTTTCTCTTTTGGAGTACACAAGTTATCTGCATTGCGTCCTTAAAACTGCTTGACTCACCTGGATTAAGAAAGTACAGGCCTAAACATCCACTGATTCATGTTGTGAGCCAAATACGTGCTCAAGTATCTCTGCAATTCGTGTGGCTTTACAATGCATGGCGCAACCAGGGTGAACTGCTCTGTTTCCGATGTTGATCAAGGGTACTTTGAAGTTACCATTAGCGACTCCATTTCCACGCTTTTGCTCGAGTTTTTTTTTTGTTGTGCGGGTTTTTGTGCTTAGTGCTGAAGGAAGAAGCAATTGTAAATCAGGTGAACCGGTTGACTCTCCCTGGGACTAAGCCTTGGAGAGTCAGGTTTGCGGGGAAATAAAAATTGCTCACGCACATTGGAATTTTTCCCTTTTTGAAGCTTTCCTAAAACCTGCCGTTAATAAAAGGAAATATCAGCGTTCAACAGCAGTGCTCCCTTTCCTGAATAACCCCCAATGCAGATGGAGCGTCACTACCTTACACATTTTTATTTTTTCGGCTCGTGTTTGAGAGTTTATTATCACTTTTCAAGTGTTCGCTTGACGCCCTATGGTTGGGGAATGGATGGTAAAAGCTCCGTCTATGATTACACTGTTGCACAATGCCCATCAATAGTTGGATGTTTGTGGACGGTAACGGATGGAGAGATCGACCGATATTTCATGGCGCTTGTAGGTTTTTATTTTTGATAGAAAGTTTAATTGCTGGAAATGTTTCAAAGCTCAATCATTGGTTGATTACAGGTGGATTTGTGCTTCTCATCTGATGCGAATCGCACGTTGACCGGAACCGACGGGACCGATAGTCGTCTTCGAGTCCTCGTTGAGGCAATGCATCGAGCTAAATCCCGATGCAAATTACCATACCTTACGGGGGCGTCGGTTGTTTCGTATGGTATTCCGGTAATTGCCATGGAATAGGGACCAAAACACATACCTGGAAGAACTGGTGCTCATTGCTCTCGGTGTCTAGTCAGTGCCGTTTTATTGGAAGCCTCATGATAGTCGAGATTTACTTGTAACCCTTTGCTTGCTGTTGTATTTTAACATCCAAATAACGTGAAGCTCGCTCAATTTTTTCAATATTTTATGTTTGTCGTGGTTTTATCGGTTTTTACAAAAGAAACTTATGGGTTTTCGTGATCTGACACAAAGAAAAACTCACTTCCTCTCTGTCATG